ACACACACACACACACACACACACACACACACACACACACACACACAGACACACAAATTCTACCAACATAGTAGTCAGCACCAGAGGCTTAAAAAAAAATGGAACTCAAAAAACATTTTTTCCCCCTAGTGGGATTTTAAAAAGTACCGTAAATTGAAAAAATAAAGAAATATGTGCAATGGATTCTAAATCAGTATATATTGGATTGAAGAAAGAGTCATCAATATTCCTTTGTCATTTCTCCAGGAAATTATTAAAATACAGGACAAAAAATAGGTTTCTGCCCTTGCTGAGTCATATGCTGACATAAAGGTAACAAATAATGCATGATGTCACATAAAAGCACTTTAACATCAAATATGATTTAATCTGGAATTCCAAAATATGGAAATGGGACCGCCTTACCGTCCTCTTGCCAAGAAAGCCAATTCACATATTTCACAAAATGGCTACTGCTTCTCTACCCTCATGAAACTTCCCACTTATCATCTTTATTGTCGTCATCATTCACTGTGGCGTTCTTTTCGTATAACATCGCCACAGTCATCAAGGTTACCTTCTTTCTCCTGCTCTGAAAAGTCTTCAGGTTCTTTTTTCTGTCACAGCTCTATGGAATTACCACGAGATCAAGGCTGGCAAGTGAAAGCCATAAAAAACCCACTGAGAGAGGGGAACATTTACCTTGGTGGGCACTTTGACAGCAAAGAGATACAGTCTCCATGTTGCCAGGACCTGAGGGGGAGAGCACATTTGTTTTTTTCTGTCATTGAGCAGGAAATGCAAAATGCAAATCACAGCAAAAAATAGCACAGCACAAACATCCCATAAAGAGAGCGCATCATCTCGGAGGCTCATCCAAATGGCTTTGCAAGTCATACAAAGCACAGAAGACATTAGCAAGCTAATGGCGGTGTGTGTGACAATGTTTGTCGAAAGGGTCCGGTTTGCTGCAGTAAGTTGTGTTGATGGTGTTAAGTAACACACATCCACACAGATGCTGCTGATGAGAGAGAAATGGAGAAAGAAGACAAAGGAGAATATAACCAGAGAAAAAAAAAAGTGTGATTTTGTTAGAAGTAGAAAGTGTCTGGAGGGAAAAGTCAGAGTCAGAGAGGCAAAATGTGAATACATTCCAATTAATCTCATTTGGAATTCAGAAATCCACGATTAGCATATCCCATGCAAGCTCCCGCCCCTCTCTGGTCCTGTCTCCAACCCATGGCCAGACTTTATATGTGCTCTTTTTTGTTTGTTTTCCTCCCTCCCATCCGTCCTGCCATCCCTCTGACCTGTCTGTACGTATTCTAAGAAATGTGTTCATTCTTCCCAGCTCGGTGCTTAATCCCTAATCCCTCCATCTCCCCGCGCCACAGCGTGTCCTGTCGGGTTCGCACCAGCCCCCAGAACCCTTCCTCCATCCCCTCTCGCCCTCTCCCCTTCTCCCCGCTGTCTTCTTCCCTACTCCCCAGTCTCCTTTTCCCCGTCTCAGTTTTTCTATTCTTTTTCTGCTCTGTCGCTTTCAATTCCTCAGGGCCTCTCTGCGCTGAATGGCTAATGGCGCCCTGCTGAGAGGCGGCGAGAGGAGGACAGAAAATGAAACGTACAAAGAAAATAGAAGGCAACAGAAGGACGGAGACACTGGATTCCTCTCCTGATAATAAAGTCTTCAGATGCATTTTTTTCACACCGGCTCCGGTACTCTCAGATCAGCCCGGTGCCGTAACTCTGTGGGCATCTTTACCAGAGTGCAAAAGCACAGAGGGGCTCAATCTGACAAAATGGAGACACGGAATAATAGCTCCCACCCTGAGAGGAAAATTCCCAACGCTCAGCCTTCATTTTTAGAACAAATCACAGTTTTTTGGGCAAGTTTGGAAACAGTTCGAAACATAAAAGGGGATGTCGGACCTCGCAAAGGGAAATAAGCAGTAAGAACTCAGTTAGAGTCATTCTAATAAGACGATCTGAAAATATTCAAAAGCCCTGCTTCCCCCAAAGAGTCTCATCACGTAAACAAAGGCATTAATAATTCAGGCTCTCCTACAGGCCTATGTGATCGTCAGATGCTAAGACGGGCTTGTGTTGAAGACCTCCTCCTTCCCTCTATGCATCATTTACAGACTATTCAGGTATCTTTACTGACAGCCAGAATCCGCTTTTTCACCCATCTGGAAAGGGTCACAAGCAGCTCAACCGGAAAGCTAAGTGGTGTTAATTGATCAAAACAGCTAGACGCTCAGTCACAATACAATTTCCCTCCCTCAAATGTTTATTCAGACGTCACCCAGTCCAGTTGTCCTGCAGCTGGACAAGCTGGACTGCTTTAGCTAGCTGTCCTCTTATGGATTAGCGTCAGGAACCGATGAGACCACTGTGCTTTGATTCAGCTCAAACTGGACAAAACTGTGTTGTTTGGCTCTGTGAGGCCCCTGAGATGGACTGGTGACCTGTCCAGGTCCAGATGCCCCCCCCGCCTCTCGCCCTGGGTCAACTGGGAAAGCTAAATCCCAAATTTTACAGCCTATACGTGAACAGAGAATATGTGTCAGGTGGACCCAGTTTTTCGTAGTATGGATAAGAGTTACGTGCAGACATTCTTTGCACAATAGTCATTTTTAATTGTAAAATGTCAACCAAAGCAAACCAATTAATTTATTTTGAATAACAAACTCACTTCAGAGATAATTTTGTTTGACATTCATTAGAAAATAGAAACAATTTACATATTAAACGTCTAATCTGAATTTTCTCACGTTGAAGTCGCACAGCACATATAAAAAATAATATTTTTCATTAGGCCACGAGGAAAAATTATTCAGCTATTAATATTAATTAGCAAAGCCACGTTCTGACAGTCAGATCCAGAACGTTTGCCCCTTATTGCAGTATCATTTCTGGCGAGGCTCATCGGTCAACTGTCCCCCCAAAAAAATCTCAGAATCGCACAAAAATTCCTTCAGATGAAGCCAAATTCTGTTTCGGTATTTGCTCTGCGGAGCAGTCAGCAGGTGACGATCTGAAAAAGTGATGGGAGGAAGGTCTGGAGCCTGGAGTCGGTGAGG